TTTTTTTTTTTTTTTTTTTTTTTTTTGCCGTGCCAGGCATACCCCGGGCCACTTTGGTAGCCTAGTGGCGATTCCCAAATGGAATCGATTACGTAATCGATTCCATTTGGGAATCGCCTCCCAGAGGCACACACAAAAAAAATAAAAAAATAAATAAAAAATTGTCACGCCCACGTGCCTGTGGGAGGCGATTCCCAAATGGAATCGATTACGTAATCGATTCCATTTGGGAATCGCCTCCCACAGGCACCTGGGCAGAGGAGTGCGGAGGAGCGGCGAAGGGGGGAGGAGCAGCGAAGGGGGTAGGAGGAGCAGCAAAAAGTCGGTGGAGCACAAGCATAACACCAAGCACCTCCAACAAATTCTCTGCCTCGTGCCGGAGTGGTCGAAAGCTACACACACCCAAGAGCCTAGCTCAGTGGGTACACCATTGAACTGTTGAAATACAGACCCGTGTTAGAACCTAGATGACAGAACTTGACGAGTAAACCTAAATATTTCTGAATTTCTGAATTGCCTGGGGCCGGTCAGCTCAATGATGATATCTCAAGACCGTCGCCTCCTTTTAATAAAAAAAAAATGAAAAAAAAAAAAGGAAAAAAGCTACACACACATTACCATTGAATAAACAGAATCAACAAATCATGTCAGTAACAATTGAAGGACTAACCACCTCCAAGGAACTCTCTGCCTTATGCCGTGAATGGGGGAAAACAACACACCCATAACTATTGATGAACAGATCATTCATGAGCTCAATCAATCCCTGATGGATTGAACACTCGGTCACTGATGGACAGCTCTCAAACCTTCTCCGAAGAGGACGCAAGTCTGCAAACGTCATCCTACAGATTATGGTGTGGGCTTGGCCGGCATCCGCCACGGTAGACAGCACAAGCAGTGCAGCCCCAATTACCATAGTTGAACCCAATTACCATAGTTGAACTTCAATAACTGTAGTGGAGATAGAGTTACGGTGATGCAGCTCCAGTTACCGAACGCAGTGTGGGCCCGTGGACCATAGCTGATGACCACTTACCATAGCACACAGATGGAGTAACAGTGGCACATCCCCAGTTACCGTAGCGCAGATGCAGTTACCATAGCACAGATAATGGTTACCAAACCGCACATCGCCAGTTACTGTAGCGCAGATGCAGTTACCATAGCACAGCTAATGGTTGCCAAACCAAGCATCCCCAGTTACCGTAGCGCAGATGCAGTTACCATGGCGCAGCTAATGGTTACAAAAGTAACCAAACTGCAAATCTCCTCCAGTTACCGTAGCGCAGATGCAGTTACCATAGCACAGCTAATG